ATAAATTGAGACTCTGAGATGGTGACTCATATCAGATACCATACTTACTGAAGTAGCAGAATAAGGACTAATTGTATGTAAAGATGGAGCTCTGACAAGGATGTTGGTTTTCCACTTCCACCAAGGGAAGAAAAAATTAGCCTCTGGGCTTATGTAATTAATTTGCAATGTATCCTGTGTGTTGGTGGGAGCTTGTGAGGACCCATCTGTCCATAGGAGATGCAGGCTGATCTCTGAGATCTCTTAATACTGTAACAAGGCCTGATAATTCTGTAATTGTAGCTCTGCCTTGGCTAGGGGTAGGAAGTTGAACAGTGGAAGTTAGCTTAGATTCTTACTAAAAAATACCCATCAATCTTTTTATAATGCTTATGCCTCCTGTTGCTTGTTTACTTTCAGAAAACTGACCGGCTAACATCATGAACATTGGGTGTTGGCATGCTGGGTTCCTCGCCCCTTCCTTTGTGTGCATCACTGTAGGCTTTTTAGAAAGAGGAGGGAATTGAATAGTTGAGTTCCAGTTTTGTCCGCCTTGTTTTGCTTAACCCTGGTTGACCTTGACCTGAGGGCACTATGACCTCTGTCAGTCAGGTTGATGAGTTTAAATCAAGATGCAGGGTCTTGCGTTGTGATAAATAAGCTGAAATGGGCCTGTTGTTTTGCGTCTGAACTGTGTCTTCTCAGTTGCTTATTTTCTTGCATCTATGACTAAGGGAATTTTCTAGTGCAATGTTTGCATTGTAGGAGTTTGTTTTCCTTTGATTAACTTTCTGTAACACCCAGTTATTTTAAAATAGGGAGAGCTGGAAAATGCTGTCACTATTGAAAATGCAGCCAGAGTAATTTATTCCATAAACAAGGCAATGGTTCTGTTTACTAAACCAGGTTAAGAAAGCCTTCACTAAAAAGACTGTCTTTCTTGATTACAGAGCTTTCTCTTTAAAGCACTGAATGAAGCCAGGCACTGGCGCATGGAATGGTGAGAAGACACTTGTGTAACTAATAGACCATTTTATGTTCTGAAGAGCTGAGTTAGGTACACCTTACTGATACTACATTCTCATGTTAGTGCCAGGCTGAATGGATACTGAAATGGATACATGGGATACTGAAAGCTGCTACAGATTCCTTATGATCCTGTTTGAAGAATGATGTTGACCTACATTTTCTTGTTTAAATGAATTTTTTGCAGGCTGTATGAGTATCTTTGTAAATACTTCACAAACTTTTTTTTTTCTCTGAGTAATACTGTTATTCATACTATTTTTGTTTCTTAAATGCTCTTTGCTTTGTCTTTTTTCTGTTTTGTAGCTTGATCTGACTCTTCAGCAAGGTCTTTTCCATTAAAGTCAGCAAAATCAGCAATTTAATCAGTTGTTAATTTAGCAACTTTATCTGAAGAGCTGGTTCATTATGTTCTGTTGTTTAACTGATGTTTGCATTGATGGAATTAGGGAGTAAAAGTAAACAGTTAATTTCCATTTTAGTGGATTATTTTAGCAAACTTCTGCAAACTAGGAGGGGGTAAAAATCCAATGGAAAAAACCAAACAAAACAACCCAAGGGGTGCAGTATCTTTTTCAACTGTATCATAGAGTCATTTAGGTTGGAAAAGACCTTTAAGATCATAGAGTCCAACCATTAACCCAGCACTGCCAAGTCCACCACCAACTATGTCCCTAAATGCCACGTCTATACATCTTTGAAACACCTCTGGGATGGTGGCTCAACCACTTCCTTGGGAAGCCTGGTCCAGTGCTTGACAACCTTTTAGGTGAAGAAATGTTTCCTAATATTCAATCTAAACCTTCCCTGGTGCAACTTGAAACCGTGTTCTCTTATTGCTTGGGAGAAGAGACTGACACCCCCCTTGCTACAACCTCCTTTCAGGGAGTTGTAGAGTGATAAGGTCTCCTCTGAGCCTCCTTTTCTCCAGGCTGAACAACCCCAGTTCCCTCAGCTGCTCCTCATAAGACTTGGCTTCTAGAGCCTTCACCAGTTTTGTTGCTCTTCTTTGGACATACTCCAGCACCTCAATATCTCTCTTGCAGTGATGGGCCCAGAAATGAACACAGGATTTGAGGTGCAGCCTCACCAGTGCCGAGTACAGGAGGATTATCACCGCCCTGGCCCTGCTGGCCACACTATTTCTGATACAGGCCAGGATGCTACTGGCCTTCTTGGCCACACTGCTGGCTTATGTTTAGCCAGCTGTTGTCCAACACCCCCAGGGCCCCCTTTTCTGACAAGCAGCTTTCCAACCATTCTTCCCCAGGTGTGTAGCATTGGATGGGGTTGTTGTGACCCAAGTGCAGGACCTCAGCTTATTGATCCAGCCCTGTAGAGCCCTTCGGTCCTTAAACAGATTCAATATCTCTCTTGCAGTGATGGGCCCAGAAATGAACACAGGATTTGAGGTGCAGCCTCACCAGTGCCGAGTACAGGAGGATTATCACCGCCCTGGCCCTGCTGGCCACACTATTTCTGATACAGGCCAGGATGCTACTGGCCTTCTTGGCCACACTGCTGGCTTATGTTTAGCCAGCTGTTGTCCAACACCCCCAGGGCCCCCTTTTCTGACAAGCAGCTTTCCAACCATTCTTCCCCAGGTGTGTAGCATTGGATGGGGTTGTTGTGACCCAAGTGCAGGACCTCAGCTTATTGATCCAGCCCTGTAGAGCCCTTCGGTCCTTAAACAGATCAACACACCCATGCAACTTTGGGTTGTCTGCAGACTTACTGAGAGTGTACTTGATCTCTTCATCCAAACCAGCGGTGATGATGTTGAACAGAGCTGGCCCCAATACGAGCACTGGGGAATGCCACTTGTGGCTAGCTGCCAGCTAGATTTAACTCCATTCGCTGTCACTCTTTGGGCTTAGCTATCCAGCCAGTTTGTTACCCAGCAGAGAGCACTCCTGTCCATGCCATAAGCAGCCAGTTTCTTCAGGAGAATGCTGTGGGAAATGGTGTCAAAAGCTTTACTAAAGTCTAGGTAGACAACATCTACAGCCTTTCCCTCATCCTCTAAGCAGGTCACCTTTGTTATAGAAGGAGATCAGGTTAGTCAAGCAGGACCTGCCTTTCATAAACCCATACTGAATGGGCCTGATCACCTGGTTGTCCAGTATGTGCTGCATGATAGTACTCAAGATGATGAGCCAATTGCTGTTAATGTCATTTAACTAAACCCAGTAGGTAAGCAGTTTTTGTAATGTTCTTGCAGTTTTAGGCAAAGCCTTATAAAATTATTGTGAAAACTCAGGGTTTGTTCTAGAAATTGAGAGTGACTGTCAAAAAATTTTGCAGTAACTCTTCCAGAAGAGTTAAGGGAATTGGAGCTATAAGGGAGGCATTCCTAGCAAGGGATGGAAGGTTGAAATTGCAACAGCTGCAGCCTCTAGTTCATCCAGAACAGAGCAGGACAGCCTGGAGGGTATACTTAAGGTTGACAGATGATAGCTTGTTCATTGTGTGGCTTTATTACTGTTAGACACTGTTACAGAACTCCATCTCTGCCCCTACAGTTAAGCTGGTGTGAAGGATGGGGCAGGGGGTGTATGTGTAAATAAGGAAGTGGTGTCTTGTTGCACTCAAGTAATTGTAACAAATAGTTCCCTGTTAGTTTACCTTAAAGAAATATCTGTGAGTGGCAGTAGTTTGTGTCTCAATTTCTAATAGCAAAATGCAGCTCTCTCTCAAGTTTATTGGCTTTTAATACAAGGTATGATGTTAAGATGTTACTAGCATAGAGCATATTGCTGTAAATCACTTGGACTGTAACTATTGGAGTTTTATTGCCTAAGGGCTGTTTAACACAGGTTTCAAATAAGAGCAACTCTAAATATTCTAAAAATCAACATAGAATTTAAAAAAAAAATTTTTATTTATTTTTTTTTTTTAAGAGAGGAAAAAACCCAAACCATAAAGCCAAAGGTTTTACTTAGCAGAAAAATGCAGCAGTATGTTTGGATATGGCTTGCTTTTGCTGGACGGCTGTTTTATACCTTCACTATAAAAATATAGATATGCGAGTAGGTAGTCATGCATTGTTTATATTGAACCTCCTTACCATGGTAGGGGAAGAAGTGAAAATAATAGAAGGGTATAGCTCTTGAGTAAATTTCCACATTAACTTGTGGCCAGAGTAGTTATTTTGGACTTCCGCTAGATTAAGCAACAACAGTTCATTCATAACTACTGAAAGAGCAGCTCAGTGTGTTAGATGTGAGCAATGCAGAAGCTGCTCTTCCCTCAGCGTGTCTTGACAGATACCTGGGCTTCTAATACGTCTGTGTTTTTCTTTTAGTAGACTGTTCAATGAAGTGAAAACTCTATTTGAAAAATGAACACTTTCCCTGCTATTTGTCCATGATTAGTAAGTTTCACAGATTGGGTCCTAACTTTTCTTCCTTGCTTTGCGGTGTATGGAAATAGCATTTTTCTGTCACTTGAGCAGTGAAGTCCCAGAGACATTCAAGGCCAGGCCAATGTAGTTCTGAGCAACCTGATCTAGTTGAAGATGTCCCTGCTCATTGCAGTGGGGTTGGACTAGATGACCTTTGAAGGTCCCTTCTAACCAAACTATTCTGTGGTTCTATGCCTGAATCAGGAGCTGGAGACTGTGTAGGATGTGAGGGCATAAGCAGACGGCTTATGTGAAGCTTTTAATGTCCAAACCCAGACTTCAAGATTACTCAGTGATCCAAAAAAAGCTGATAGCAATTTTTGGCAGCTCATACCTTGTTCTGCTTCATTGGCATCAGCCTATTTATCTCCTGCAAAGTGCTAATGCTTATTTAACTGTGTAATTATGGAAACTGATGGTGTGTGGTGCAAGAAAATGAAGAACAGGTATCTGCAAAGGCCAGCTTCTGGCCCAAGAGGCTGGTTCCTTTGGGCTGCAAGTAGACAGAAAGGAGCTTTTACTCTCAGTGGGTTCTGGAAGAGCCCATCTTTCTCCTGTGTTTTTAGAGACAACCTAGAGTGAGCCCCTCTCAATGCTTCTATGCAGAGTATGCATGTGTGGTAGGTGCAAAACAGCGTTCAGCTCCTGTCACTGCGACTTTGTGTGAGAAATCAAACCAGAGTGATCCCCTGTCAAATTTGTGGTGGTCGTGGTGAATGGTTGTAATAATGATCATTTCCTTTTATAGGTTTCAAGATGCTTTATAAAAGCTCATGTTAATAGCATAACTTGGATTTAAATGTCTTGTCTTGTTTTTCTTATATTTCAGGTCTACCAGTCATGAAACGAATTCTTCTGTTTTTTATCCTGGCTGCTGCTGTTATGTATGGTATACTGCATGGAAATCTGTGGAGAAATAACCTCTACTGGTATGGTGATGCTTAGTTCAATTACAGTGCAAACACCCTCATGGCTGTAAGAGATGTGGCTGTGAGTTGCTGTGTTGCTGAAGAGCTGTTTACTAGTAATCAGCAGAAGTGATTACTCCTCTGTGTTTTGTTTTGTGGTTGTTTTGTTTTGTACTGTGATCTGTTCTGTCCTGTCACCCTTCTCTCATGTCACTTTTAAACCCAGTGGTTGATTTGAGCCTGGTTGTGTGGAGAGGTCAGGATCTCAGAGATAGGGAACCCCTCTGAGTTTCATGAAAATAGGTGTTTAGGTGAGAAGAGATACCCTATTTGTGTGTCACGTCTGTAACTCCTCCCACCCGCATGTGCTTAGTGTTAGCTTGTTTCTTTAGATGTCTGATAGATGGCATGGGAGAGGCTTGCTCCACACATGGGAATAACTGTAGGTGTAGTGGGCACCTTTTGAAAAGCTGAAATTTGTTGAGTCCCAGTGTCATCCTTATGGGAAGGGAGCCTTCACAGTCTCCAGGCTCCATGGGACATGTGGCTTGGGACCTAAAATTCAGTGCAGTTATCGAAGAAGTTGAGTTTCCATTGGCTTTTGCATAGCTGTGGCCAGGACTGAGTAGTATGCTTGTGTTATGAAGACAATAGTCATAGCTTTTAAAAGTAGTGATTGACGTGGCTCTATTTGTCTTGTTTATAGCATACAATTGATACAATGGCTTTCTGTTGTGGTTTCTGATTATAGCAAACCAGAGTGTTGTGACATTTCCCTTTTTGCAGGATTAGCTTTTATGGACAGACTTCCTCTGTGAGGGCTTCTCCTTCCTATGAGACTAGTGGAGTTACCCAGTAAGTTCAGCAGTTGAGTATTTTTGTGTTGGGAATTTTTTTGGTTTGGTTTGGTTGGTTGATTTTTTTTTTTTTTTGGGCAGGTGGGAGGCATTGAGACTAAAATTAGTAGCCTTTGTCTGTAGGTTCCCTGTTCAACTGGTTATTGTACAGCTGTGTCTGTTGGCTGTTTCCGTTATGAACACAATTGTGACATATCTGGCAAAGGGAGTTTGTCCATGTCATGTTTCTGGTGTTTGGTTAATATTTATGGCCACTTACAGTGACTGTCTGTAACAAGCAGGGACTTGTTGGAAGGACGTTGGTTTACAACTTCCAAATTTCTGCAATTCTGAGTTATACCCGAATAAAATTTGTAGAGCTATGAGGGCAGCTAGTGTGCTTAAAATCTAATAAATCAGAGGTGTGGTTCACTTGTGATGTGCAAGTGCATGTGTAAGCAGATCTTGTGCTAGTAAATTCCTGCAGTTAGGTTTCTGGAACTAATAAGTGCCTATGCTAAAACTTAAAAGCAGGCCTCTCTTCTCTCTGAAGTCATCTTGCAAAATGGCATGCGTGAGGCTTATGCTGGAAAACAACGACCTGGCCAGCTGATATGTTTCACAGGGTGCTTTTTCAGTGTCAGTATTCACATGACAACTTGAGGTTACCAAAAGCAATTAACCTTAATGGTCTGTTTGGCTTGTGGTTCTAACGTGGTGGTTTCATCCTTCTGTTTTTAATGCAGCTCAGATGCATGCATTGCTCACACTGAACTTTGCCCTCCCTTCTGGGCTTTGTATTTGTTATTAATTGGGCTAAATCACCAAGGTGGGAATGTTCTTAGAAATCTCTTAGCCGTATTGTGAGAGGAATGACTTAACCCCGAAGAATCTCACTTTCCTTGAAGTACCCTATTTGGTGCTCTCTATTCCCCGCTCCAAATGAGACTCCTCTCTGAGGAGCACTGGTGATGCTATGTGGTGTGGCTGCAGGAGTGATTCAGCCCAGGTGTCCTCCTTCGCTGCAGGTAGGTCTGAAATCTCACTTCTGGTTATGGCTGCTTTGACAGTTGCTGAGAAGGGAGGTTGCAGACCCTTTGGAAACAGCACCATGAGACAAAAGCCTTTGCTAGTAAAAGTAATTGTATACTGCAATGATAAAAATCCATCTTTATGATACAAAGGCAACCATGAAAATTTAGTGTGGTGTTAACTCAGTAATCAGCTTTTACTAATGTGGCTTTTTTTATTTTTTCTACCTTCTTTTT